CTGCTTCAGTGGGTGCGGGGTGAGCCTGAGGTTCTGCGTTTCTAACGAGTTCACAGTGCTGATGCTGCTGGCCCAGGGCATACGCTTGGAGTGACAGGGGTTGGGACATTGAGTTAGGTGTTTGGACTTTTGCTAAGAATCATCACCATGACCATTACCACAACCATTTCTTTCTTTCCTTCTCTCTTTCCCTTCTTTTTATTCCTCCTCTTCTTCCTTTGTCATAGACCACTACCACCTTTGAGTTAGGTGTTTGGACTTTTGCTAAGAATCATCACCATGACCATTACCACAACCATTTCCTTCTTTCCTTCTCTCTTTCCCTTCTTTTTATTCCTCCTCTTCTTCCTTTGTCATAGACCACTACCACCACCATTTACTGAGCAGCTACCACATGCCAGGCACTGGGCTCAGGGATTCACGTGTCCCATCGCTAACCCTGCTGACAGCCCTGGAAGGTAACATATTTGAGCCCAAGAGAATTCAGATTGTCTGAGTATATCTGATGACGACTTGGAGTATATGAGTCCCTGGGCATCTGTTTGCACAGCTGATTTGCATGAAGGCTTTGAGCTTTTTATTTTTGCGCTTGGGCTCAAGGAAGAAAGAAATCATATGCTTGAGGGGCCTGGGGAGTGGGGGTGGAGGAAGATATAAGGACATCATGGGGGACAACGTGCTGTCTGGTGCTCAGCACTCAGTCTGACTTCTTGGGACTGAGGGCAATCTCTCCATTTCGGAGCTCCACACTTTTTAGCTCCTGTGCCTTGAAGGCTAAAGAAAATGGCAGCACTCCTAGCTCCCTGAAGGGTTGGTGTTTTTGTTTGTTTAGTTCTGGAAATCATGGAAAAACAGCTGAGACTGACAGCTTTTGGGACATCTGCCCAGCCTCCACTTTACCATCTCTGACAAGTGTCCCTACCCCCAAGTGTAGGCCTCTGGAGCCATGTTGTTTGTGCGACTCTCCTTTCTAGCTGTAGCTGATTGGGCAAGGCTGGTCACCGAACCCAGGGCCAGCCAGGTTGCTGGTTTGGCTGAGCCAACTAGCATCTCCTGAGAAAATGGAAGGGAGAAACAGAGATGCTTGTGGCTGGCTAGTCAGAGGCCACAGGACATGTGGGGGGCCGAGGGGTCATCTTTAGCCCACAGGCACGCAGGTGTAAACATCAGATCTATGGAAAGAGAACGTTCACAGAGAGAAGCAGAGATGAGGGACAGGCAGCCATGGAGAGGAGAGGAGCTGTCTTGCTTCATGACCTTTTCCCAACTGCATCCTAAGCCTTCCGGAGGCCGGCTTCACTTCTTCCATGGGTTCCACACTGCACATGCAGGACAAACTCTAGTGTCCCCTCTCCCCCGTGGTCCATACCTCTCAGTGTTCAGGCTTTTGTATAATTCCCACCTCCCCTTTAGTGTGAGTGGGAACTGTGACCTGCTTCCAACCAACTGAATATGGCAAAAGAGATGGGATGTCACCTCCATGATCACATGATGTTATGGAAGACTCCATCTTGCCAGAAAAGTGACTTTAGAGACTCCCTCCTAGCTGCCTTTGAGGACGCAAATGTCCATGTTGGGAAGACAATGTGGCGAGGAGCTGAAATCAGCCTCTGGAAGTTGAGAGGAGCCTCTGGCCGATAGCCAGCTGCAAGTCAGCCTAAGCCCTGGAGACACAAGGAGAGTAATTCTGCCATCAACCTGAGTGAAGTCGTAAGGAGATTCTCCCCCAGTCACACATTCTCCAGATGAGAATACAGCCTGGCCAGAACCTTGACTGCAGCTTTGTGAAACCCTAAGAGGAGGACCCAGCTGAGCCATGCCTGGACTCCTACCCCACAGGAACCCTGAGATTCTAAATGTGTGTCATCTAAAGCCTCTGAGTTTGTGGTAATTTATTATACAACAATGGAAAACTAATATTGTTTTCCTTCTCAGTTGCTTTTATACAGGTAAGTTTCTGTGACTTGTAACCTGAATAATCTGGGCTAAGACAAGAGCACTGGCTGGCATTTGTCCCAGAGGAGCTGCCCCAGCCAGAAAACCATGACAGGGTCTAGAGCCAGCACAGCTGCCAGCTGTGGTGGAAGGTCTGGCAGAGAGTAGCAGCGACTAGTGGGCTAGAACTCCCTGGTTGCATTGGGAGCTTGCTGGGGACTCACAGAAATACTTGGAGTAAGGAAGATGGAGGAATGTTGTGGACAGGTGGGGACTACCAAGCCAACAGAATTTGGGTATGTGATTTCATCTGTACCTCTCCTGCTTGGAGTTTACTGTCAATTCATGTCTTGCACCAAGTTTAGGACATTTGGGTCCATTACTTCTTCAAATATCTTTTCTTGTCCATTCATTCTCTTCTCTCCTTCTGAGACTCCAATAAAATACATGTTAGACCTTCCTATTGTCCTACATGTCTCTGAGCCTCTGTTTTTTTTTTTTACTTCCAATCTTTTTTCTCTATGTCCTTCAGATTAGACTATCTCTATTTATCTGTCTTCAAGTTTACTGACTCTTTCCTCTGTCATCTTGATTCTCCTGTGAAGCCCATCCAGTGATTTTTATTTCAGATATTTTACTTTTCAGTTTTGTATATTCCGTTTAGTTACTTCTTACAGTTTCTATTTCTGTGCTGAGATTTCTTATCTTTCTATTCATCATGAGCATTTTTTTAAACATAATTGGGCATGATTATTGTGATGGTTAATGTTACGTGTCATCTTGACTGGGCTAAGAGATGCCCAGATAGCTGGTAATATATTATTTCTGGGTGTGTCTGTGAGGATGTTTTTGAAAGACGTTAGCATTTGAATTGGTAGACTGAGTAAAGAAGATCAGCCTCACCAATGTAGGTGGGTATCATCTGATGCCCAGATAGCTGGTAATATATTATTTCTGGGTGTGTCTGTGAGGATGTTTTTGAAAGAGGTTAGCATTTGAATTGGTAGACTGAGTAAAGAAGATCAGCCTCACCAATGTAGGTGGGTATCATCTGACCTGTTCAGGGTCTGATAGAAAAACAGATGGAGGAAGGGTGAATTATCTCTCTTCTTGAGCTAGGACATTCCTCTTCTCCTGTCCTCAGACATTGGAGCTCCTGGTTCTCAGGCTTTCAGACTGAATTGAATCACCAGCTTTCCTGGTTCTCCAGCTTGCAGACAGCAGATCATGAGTATTCTCAGCCTCCATAATCACATGAGCCAATTCCTGTAATAAATCTCTCTCTCTGTAATCGTATATATATGATTACATATATATGTAATTATATTGATTTTGTTTCTCCGGGGAACCTGACTAATACAGTTATAACAGCTGTTTTAAAATTCGTATCAGCTAATTCGAACATCTGGGTCATGTCAGAGTTAGTTTGCATTCCTAAGAATGCATCCATTAAAAAAATTTGTTTATGTTGAATAATTTTGGATAACATGTTGCATCTTGGACATTATGAATGCTTTAGTGTGGAGACTCTGGATTCTGTTATATTCCTCCAAATAGCACTGAATTTTCGGTTTTAACAGGCAATTGGTTGGATTCAATCTGCAAACCTGTTACTCAGGGACCTTGTTAAAATGTGGTGGCTGCTCAAATCTTGGTTCAGTTCTTCTATCCTTAGCTGAGCTGCTTTGAGTCTGCCCTTGTATATGTGGCTTAGAGGTCAGAAAGAGATTTGGTCATAGTTTATACACAAAAGTTGCACTCTCTTTCTCTGGCTTTCTTTTTTCATGGACTCTCCTCTCATTTTGCAGGGGCTGTGGTTGCCCTAAACTCTGATTCTTCAAGCCAGAAAGAGTGTAAGGTTTCTACCAGCCTGCATGATGCTACTCACTGAAGCCCACCTTCAAGTTGAAAAAGTTTGAAAAAAGGCAGCGGAAGGAGGGACTCTCCAGTACCATTTTCTTTTTCCAAGTGTCAAATCTCTCTAGAATCTAACTGCTTTTGGTAGCTTTCTAGTGTCATCAGCTAGTTGATTTCTATAACTCGTTTAGAGTTTATAGTTGCTATCTGCGGGAGTGAGAGTATGATAGGAGCTTACTCAGTCATTCTTGGGCTGTGATTTCATTTGTGCTTTCTAGATACTGAGCCCGAGAACTTAGGGGATACAAAAACATTACTAAGTCCTTTTTACAGATGAGAAAACTGAGCCATCATAGGTCCATCTGGTTTAAAACTCCACTCCATTCTATCCAAGTGCACTTGGGTGAGGCAGAAATAAGGTGGTCCACAGTGTGGAGACAGGGGAGGGGCAGGAAGGAAAGCAAGGCAGGTGGGATGCCAAAATGTGCACATCTAAATGTGCAAATCCTCTGGGGTCTAGGGGTTACCATCATGCTCTCAAGGCCTTGGACATGGTCTTTTTGAAGGCTTCTCAAGATTTCTTTGTTTCTTTCATTTTGATTCTTTTTGAGAATTCCAGGTATCTCAGCTGTGCTAAGGGGACATTTGGTGAAGAGCAGAACTTTAGCAGAGTTTTATAATTACCCAGACAGAATCAGAGACAAAAAATAGTCATAGGACCTCAGAGATTACCTCTTTCAACCCACCCATTTTAAGGATGAGAAAACTGAGCCCCAGAAAAGTGAAATGATTTGTTCAAGATTGCTCAACCTTTTCATGGAGAAGCTAGTTCCAGTGTTCAAATTTCTTAGCTTCCTATCCAATGCTCCTTCTGCTAAGCAAGCATAACTCCTCCATACCTGTATGTAGTCCTCTCCCTCTCTCTCTCTCTTTCTCTGGCCTGCCCACACACTACCCCCAAATATCAAAACAATGACACCATTAGCCTCTGATAGCGTGGAGGGGAGGGCATCCATTCATTGGAGCTGTAGTTCTCAATCTTTTTTTTTTCTTTTTTTATTCTACAGTACTTGAGAAACATGATACTTACCCACAAATACCCATGTAAACACTAGTGAACACCACCCCATCAATGAGCTGATGTTGATGGATTCCAGATGTGATACGTACTCTATGACCCTTACCCCCCAGTTCCCCACTGCACCCACCGTAGATGCGAAAGGCATACTCGATCTTCAGGCTGGGGCAGGCCTGCTCACTGAACACAGATGCCATGCCCAGCACATCCTCAAAGGAGAACACATCGTTGTGGGAGAACACTCTGCAGATGCGGTCTCTGAAAGGGTTGACCTGTGGGTGGGGAGGAGGAGAGGGAGAAGGTCCATCAAGGTCAGGTTCGTGAGCCTGTTTTGTCTGTCACAAACACTGTGTCCTGGGTTTGGGAAGAAAGCAACAGCTGCAATCTAAATGTTGGGGCACATGCTGCCTCGATGAGCCAGGACCCTGGACGTGAAGGGTCCCTCCAAGATGAGTGACCCCACTTGACATCACTCTGTCTACTACCACCTCCTCCTGCACACACATTCTAAAGACTCATTTTTTGGTTGTGTTATTCTTTCTTAAGGCTATTAATTTTTATCCATTTTATGTTGAAAATTTGGAAAGTACAAAAAAGTATAAGGAATAGGATAAAAATCATCTGTAATCCATTCCCCAGGGTTAGCCTCTGTCAACACATTTCCAAAGAAGTCAGGGAGACCTGGGTTTGAGAACTGGCTTCACTATTTACTAGTGAGTGACCTTAGTTTAGACAAACTATATAACCTCCTAGAGCCTAAGATTTCTCATCTACAAGATAGGGTGGGATAATAATTATATCAACCTAACAGGATTTGTGCAAGGATGAAACAGGATAGGTTTAAAGTTATCCAGTGCCTGATAAATAACACTCAACAAAAGTTAGCTGTTAGTTGTTACCTAACTACTATAGATATTTTAATTGGCATAGCAAGTTTCATCTTTAAACTAATTTCTCAGACTAAGTTCCCAAATGAGTAAGGGTTATGTGGTTTTGGAGACCCTGCTTCCCCTAAGCTGCGCCTGGCCGGGGTCACATATGGGATGTGAGGGCTTGCCTATGCTGGCACTGTTGGTCCTATGCTTGTGACACCCCGGCTGCTCCCCTGCCAGCTCAGATGCAGCATGCTAAGGCTGCCTTGCTACTCTCCCTCCAGCCCCTAGGAATGGGCAGGTTGGGTGGACTTTGGAGTGAAGGGGGTGGGCAGGGCTCATGAGGGCTAAAGGGGGAACTTCACAGAACAAGTCTGAAATCTTTAAAAGTATCAAGTTCATCTTTGGCATCCTCCTCCCCCATTTTCTGTGCCCCTAATCCGTTCCCACCTACCAGGGCTCCTGTTCCCCGACTGCCCAGGGGCCCATCCCTGGCCTGTTGTGAACTCTTACTGCCTGTCCTGCCGGTGAACCTTGTCAGATCCCAACTCCGCTCCAGTGTTCCGAAATGACCTGCAATACCTCCTCACCCACAACCAAAATTTCCTTTCCTTATATGCACCTCAGCTAAGAAAGTGATTTGATCCTGTGAATTCACACAGCAGACATGAATGGCCAATGGTTTTTCAGTCTTCCAAATTTCTAATTAGTCCAAACAAATCTCTGGTTGATTTTTCTAGTCCCTTTTTCACTGACAAGGTATCTCTTCAAGGCTCCAGGCTTCATGCAAAAGGGTTAGTTCTGGCTCTTCTGCTTTAAGCATGTCATGACCCAACCACCCTGCTCATGGGCATGTGGACCCCAGCCCAGCCCCTAGGGGTCTATATCCCTGTCTGACACTCCTGTGGGCTGCCCTAGCGTCAGCCAATGCTTAGCTCTCTGGGTTTTGGGTTTTTTTTTTTCCTTTTTGTCTTTTTGACTGACTGGTAACGGGATCGCAACCCTCGGTGTCGCGCACATACCGGGGACTGGCAACGGAATCGCAACCCTCGGTGTTGCACTCGGTGTCGCGCCTGTACCGGGAACCAGCAACGGAATCGCAACCCTCGGTGTTGCACCCGCACCGCGCTCAGCCAGTGAGTGGGAACCGGTCTCCATATGGGATCCAAACCCTCAGTGGGAGCGCCAGCACGTTCCCAAGCGGCGCACTCTCCAGTGTGCCACCGGGCCGGCCCTAGCTCTCTGGTTTTGATTTGTCCATTTTGGGCATGTGAAAATTTCTCTTTCACGCTCAGCCAGTGAGCGGGAACCAGTCTCCATATGGGATCCGAACCCTCGGCGGGAGCGCTGACGCACTCCCAAGCGGCGCACTCCCCAGTGCGCCACCGGGCCAGCCCTAGCTCTCTGGTTTTGATTTGTCCATTTTGGGCATGTGAAAATTTCTCTTTCATTTCTTTTGAACTCAGCTACACTTCAAGTGTATGGGGTTTTTAATTTGGTATTCCTATGTATTTGAGGTGGGAGATGGGACATCCGGTGTCACCTCAGGTGGCTATGTACTTCTCAAACTTCAGTGAGCATATGAATCACCTGGGGTCCTTGTTAAAAACATGAATTCATGTTCAACAGGTATAAAGTTTCAGCTGTGCAGGTGAACTGGTTCCAGAGATCTTCTATACAACATGTGCCTATAGTTCACAATACTGTTTTGTGCACTTAAAAATTTGTTGAGGGTATGGGCCGGCCCGGTGGCACACTGGAGAGTGCGCCGCTTGGGAGTGTGGCGGCACTCCCGCCAAGGGTTCGGATCCCATGTGGAGACCGGTTCCTGCTCACTGGCTGAGCGCGGTGCAGGCACGACACCGGGGGTTGCGATCCCGTTACCGGTCAGTAAAAAAGACAAAAAGGGAAAAAAAAAATTTGTTGAGGGTAGATCACATGTTAAATGTTCTTAATACGATTTTTTTAATTGCAAAAAAAAAAATGTGTTCATGACACTGTGGTGCATAGAATACACTATGTGAAGACACACACACAGACACACACTTATACAAAGAATTCTAAGTTCCCACTTTCAGAAATCCTGTTTTAGAAACCCAGTGTTATAGGTCGAATTGTGTCCCTTCTCAAATTTATATGTTAAAGTCCTAACCCCTAATACCTCAAAATGTGATCTTATTTAAAAATTACTTAGGTTAAGCTGAGGTTGTATGGAGTAGAATGGGCCACTAATCTACTATGGCTGGGGTCCTTATAAAAAGGGCAAATTTGGACACAGAGACAGACATTTGGGGAGCACACCATGTGAAGATGAAGACGGAGATCAGGGTGATGTGTGCACAATCCAGGGAGCGCCAAAGATTGCAGCAAACCACCAGACGCAAGGGGAGAGGCCTGGAGCAGATTCTACCCATAGTCCTTAGAAGGAACCAACCTTGCCCACACCTTGATCTCAGACTTCTAGCCTCTAGAATTGTAAGTCAATAAATTTCTGTTGTTTAAGCCACATAATGTGTGATACTTTGTTAGGGCAGCTTTAGCAGACTAGCACATCCAAAAATCTGCATTGTATATGAGATCCCCAGGTGACGTGGTCTATTATATATATGATATATGTATGTAATTACATTGAGATATCCTGTATATATGTTCCAGGAGTGGCCGGTATCCAGGGGGAGCCAGGCTGCCCTGCTAGAACCTTCAAACAAGCTCCTGCTTTGTCTGGTCCGTCCATCCTCTCACCTCAACATTCCCAGAAATGCTTGCTTTGACTGCCTCAAATTAATGCTGATAAGGGTTATCTACTGTGATGTGTTCCAGGTCACATGCACCCAGCTAAGTAGTTTTACAGATTACCTTACTGAATTTTAACTACATTAACTCTTACAAATGGATACATAGCTTAACAAGATTCCGGCAAGGAAACCACAATCAAAGATAATGCTTATATTGCAAACGCAAGTGAACAACAAGAAAATGTCACAGCTGATACCTCTCCTATGCAAAATAAGAGTTCCTCTCTATGTGGCAGAAACCATGAGAAGCCAGTCAGACATAACAAGGAGTCCCCACATCACTTCTCTTTTTCTGTGCTCAGATGGATGCATGACAGGTCATCAGGCTCACTGCCTAAGCACGGGTCCAGGGCTGGAAGAGATGCCAATCCTCCTTTCTCTGGGGGTCCCCCAGTACTCGGCTTTGTTGATACTGATGTGAAGGAGGCGTTGCCAGGATGCCAGTACACTCCCCTGCAGACCCATGTCACATGACTCTTAGCTGCAGCATGCGTGAGCACAAACACACATGCACACATACACATGCACACACTTGCCCTGTCTATACAGACTGGAAATGAGGCAGTTGGTGTGGTAGCTGGTGGCAGCCAGAATAGTACATACAATCCAGCATAGCAAACACCTGGAAGATGCAGAGAAAATATTGCTGAAGATGTAGAGAAATAAGCATTGGAACAAAATCCACACTGTAGAAGCTTTGTTAAATAACTAAAGTATAGATGTTTCTAACGTGGTTTTCCTAGATTTTGTTTTGATAATGAAATACATGAAGAACCACATTTCTGTGGGCCACTAAAGGAAAAGGTGATATGAACTGTATAGTAAATTACTTCTTTAATAAAAACACCATTTATGGGGGAAATTGAGTGTAATCATTAATGAAATGGCTGCTCCGCAATGAAAAGGGATTCTGGGATAGCAACACATAAGAAACCAATTCCCTGTGGAATTTTCTTCAGGCTCCTGCAGTCAAAAAGATGAATCCGGAAGTGCGGGAGTGCAGCAGGATGCACTGATATGGTTCGTCTTTTCTAGAATAGTTTACAACATAGTAAAACTTGTACAGTGATTTGTAATCAGAAGGGAAGTAACTAAGAAAATCTTTTGAACCACATGGAGGTTTGCTGGTTATCTGTTGGCTGAGCTTTTAAAAGAGTCATCAAACTTAAAGATGAGTTATATGTTTTTCTTGCACAAAAAGACAAGTGTTCCAAATTTGCTGACCTTTTTATGACGATGGTGAGCAGCTGTTGGCAGCTTGCTACCTAGCAGATATCCACAAAAAAGTGAACTCAAATTCATTTGACTCTTCAAGGTAAAGGTGACTCATTTTAACATTATTCCTTTTCCAAAGAGACCCATGCTTTGGAGAGAATATTTTGAAAAAGGAATTTTTGTTGTTAAAAACATGTGGTGTACTCATTTTAACATTATTCCTTTTCCAAAGAGACCCATGCTTTGGAGAGAATATTTTGAAAAGGGAATTTTTGTTGTTAAAAACATGTGGTGTCACCTATAAAAATGCTTACATGTGCAGACCTGAAAATATTAGAAACAGATCTTTCTAACCTGTTTGTCCAAACAGTGTCAGTGGATTTTGAGTCC